GAGGGGCAGCGGTCTCCGCGCTGGTCGGGCTGGCCGCAGCCGCCCACCCCCATCTCGCCGCCTTCTCCCCCTAGCAGCAAGAGAGGAGTGCGCAGCGTTAAAAAACCCCAAATCCACCCAAAATAGGGCAGGGGAGATCTTTGCAAAGCAGTCCCGCCAGCCGTGCCATGGGAGCATCGCCAGGATCAGCCCCAGATCCCTCACCCCGTAATGAGGCGGCCGTAATCAGGGGAGCACGTGGCAAAATCAGCGCGGGCTGCAGCCAACACCCTGCTCACCCCCCCGCCGCCTCCCCCACGCATCCCCTCCTGGCTCCGCAGCCGCAGACAGTTGTGCAACTCAGGGCATCCCCCGGGAGAGCAAACCTCGTCAGCCGAGGCAATGTTCCCTCCGGATGATGTCACTTCGGAAACCATTACGCCAGAGCAAGCGTCGAAGTGGCCACGTGCGGCGTTGAGTGCCAGGGAGGGGACACGGCGGGCTCTGGCCAGGCAAAGGTCAGCCCAGCACTTCCAGCGGGATTTTCCATGGCACTGGCAGGGATGAGCAAGGGGTGACCGAGTACCCACAGGGGTGGGTGCCAAGCACAAGCTGCCAGCACCACCATGGCTGGGTCACAGCCCCGTCCCAACCGGATGGACGCCCTGGCACAGGATGACAGGGAACTTGCTCAGCTACGTAGCCTTTCACCGAGGGTCCCACAAGAGCAGCAGGACGGACAACCGCTTTGTACTGAAGCATCGTTTATTAATCACCTGCATCAAGCACACATCTGCTCAGCAACGGTGCGTGACAGGGTACAACAGTTGACATCTAACCCGAAGGGAGGCACATGGTTACAGGATCCGGAACAGTGGGAGGAAGTGTACTGGACCCTCTGGAAAGACAAGCCGGGTGCAATGCATTGCTCAGGCTATGCTGTTACGAGGCTGGAGACCAGTGAGAGTAAAATTAGGAATACAACTAGTATCCAAGCTGACTTGTGCTTTGGCCAGTGATTTAAAAACCTATTACCCTCCATGCATATAATAAATAGGTGGAAGTGCACAGAACTTTCTCTGTCTCTCCTTGCTCCCACACAGACGTCAGTAGCAGAGGAAGGACACCTATTTGATTGGCAGTGACATTTTGTGTCCCATCGGCTACAAAACCCAAACGACACTGAGGAATAGCTCAGCACCGATGTGTTTCCCGTTAACACACACACACATTTCAAGGGGACGCAGCCCCTGGACACTGCCTTCTCCTGGGGAGGAGGGCCGGGTGCTCGCCCTGGCATCCCACCAGAGCAGAGCCAGCTTTCCCTGGCTGTCTCCAGAGGCTTCGTCTTTCATCCCTTTCTTCCCCAGAGCTGATCTCTCCCTCAAAGGCAGCCAGTGGGTTTTCACATCTAGCTGTCGCCTAGCTGGGACTAGGTAGGTCGGTGCTACACCAAGGGCTGTTTGGCAGGAGCTGTATCAGCAGCACAGACAGAGAAACCCAGCAAGCACCTGAGCAGAAAGCCCCAACACCTCTGCACCTTGAGCAGGCAGTAATTTGGAAAAAAGGAAAGCCAGGCCCATCCAGGCACAGACCACAACAGATGCCTTGCATCAAGACAGGACAGAGATCAGCATCTTCAACTCTGGCCAGGAGGAAAATAAAAAATAGCAGCTTCAGGGTTTTTGCCCAGCTCGATGCTCAAGCCTGGTCAATAAGCATCTGGAGTAAAAATCTGGTAGCAGGAGTTTGCATCTTGAAGATTTATTTATCTCCTATTAAAGCAGCTGAACAAAACCCCAGCCAAACTGGTGAAAGCTGTTCTACCATGCTGCAGGAACAGGTTGTAGCTTCTCTCTAAAGATTAATCCTGGCACGACTCTTTATCTTTAGTTGCAAATCTAAAGCACAATTCTGACCGAAAAAGAGATATGCTTGAAAGATGACAGAGCAGCTCATGGTCCTTGATAAATGCATGTGAGAACTTAAAAGCATTTAAGTTCTGCACCTGCACCCCAGCATCTCCCCGTCCCAGTACTGCTGTAGGTGACAGACCCCATGCCCCACTGGCACTCAGCAGGGCAGGAACTCTCATGTCTGCTTCTGCCAGCTGACAGGCACACATACAGCCAGCTTAATGCTGCTGACATGACGGCGTTCGACGTGTGAATTTCTGGGCCAAAGTGCTTTCACCTCTGGCTCAGCCCCCCAAAAGACAGCAACAACTCGGAGCTGAGGAGGTCAGTCAATACCTACCAATATTTAGAGTACATTAAGCACTACTTCACATAGGAAAAACCCTCACCCAGTTAATCATCCAGTTCCTCCCAGACACTAAAGGTGCTTCACTGCAAGGACAGTTCAATTAAAAGCAATGAATCACACACCCCATCTATGCGAAGCTGCTTTACAGCTATGTACACCGAAGGAGCATCATTCCCAGAAAAAGTCTGATCAGCAAATCACACCTTAAAATTCATTGTAGGCTATTTTTTTTTTCCCTGGAAAACCAACCACCTCAAAGGCAACAGAAAAATTCAAAGAGATTGGTCCTTTCTGGGGAAGTCTGGGAAGGGCCATAGCAGACAGACTCCACATCAGCACAGAGAGGAACTCGGATTCGTGAAACGCCGACACACCGCACACGCACACACAGGGCAAAAATCAAAAGGAACTTTGAAGCGCAGGATTCCAGCAAGTCCAGCATCAGCAAGATGCAAAAAGTAAACTGCTAAGTAATTCAGGTATTATTCCAGGGAAGGTCAGAGGCAGTTCAGGCAGCTGCCCGCAAGTATTTCAGCTGGAGAAAAGAATTCAAGAGGGCTCGCCTCCTCACCAAAACTGGCACCAGGGCTGCAAACCAGAATATGCTGGTCACCTCTAAGTAGGGCTGTTTCATGCTGAGCTCGCCAGGAGCAAAGTGCCCACCCCTGCAGGGAGAGGCTCCGCCGGGTGCGTGGCTTTGCACACCCCCAGGAAACAGCCACCCCGAGCCGGCAGCTGCCTGAGCGAGCTTCTGCCTGTGCACTGAAGCCACATGAGCAGAGCTGCTCTGGGGGAAGCAGTGATGCTGCTCACCCAGGTCTTTTTTTCCCCAAAAGCACGTGGTTGTTGTCCCTGACACTGGGAAAGACCTTCTCCTGGCCAGCCAAGTCTGATGACTGACAGAGCCCTTTTCATGCAGGATCTCAGGTTGCCTCAGGTCCTTTGCATAACCTACAAAGGACCAAAAGTGTCAGTGCTTCTGATCTACAGGTCTAAGGGGTTAATGCAAAACCAAAACGCACAACACAGAAAAGCCAAGCGTGGGACCTACAACAGACAAATACCTGTTCTTACAAGACTTGCAGGGCAGGAGTCCTGCTTAGACACAAAGAATACTGTGTGCTGTAGCACTCCTTTCCAAAAATATCAACTAAAGACACTTACGTATTACAGATGATTTGGCATCAGAGCTCGGGAGCATCAGTGCCAGCACAGGGTATATGCTAGAAAGATGACTCCACACGACAAGGTTTTCACATCACCTCAGGCTACAAAGTGCTGACAGGTTGTGTTGGGACTGAGGCTGGCACTGCTCTGATGACACGTATCCACCAGCAGTCCCTGCCCACCCCAGGCATACAAGCAAGTTCAGCTCACCACAGGCAGCGTCACCTGCACCTCGCTGCCTAAGCCCAGCACGCCATCTGTGCCAGGTCAGACGATGGCACTTCTCAGGTCATGAGGCAGCAACAGGGTAACACCGTAGGCTCAGCAGATCCGATTTCACTGCCTCCCTCTGCTCTCTGTGATGTGAAGACTCAAAAGTCTTCCAGGTCTAGTTTAGAGAGGATGGTGCTTCTGGTTCTTTATTTACCATGGATATCAACAAAAGGCAGGGAAGCCTTCCTCCCACTCCGCACTGGAGGAGAGCACATGCATTGTAGGAAAGCTTAACAAAGAAATCCTCTCTCCAGGGCAAAGTCAAGTGCTAAGGTCAAGACTTTAAATGCTCTCATTTCAAATCACTTAAAAGCACTTGCCAAGATCTGCTCGGCCTCCCAGGCTCCCACAGTCACCGCTCCCGCCACCTGCGCGCCCGCCGGGGCAAAGCCACACACCCAATGTAAACGAGCAAGCACAACACACACACACACAAGCACACGCTGAAAGCCATCCCGGCCTCCTCTGCACATCACAAAGCAGCAGTAAAGGTTTCAAAGCCCGATTAAGTCCTTTGCATCTCTCCTTCACCGATGACTCAAAAAGCAGGGCTAGGAAGCTCTTTTGTACATTCAACTGTAAAACACATGAGGAAGAGGAGCAAGACAACTCTCCTGATTGTTGCTACTGCCTACAGCAAGTTTTGGTACAGATATCCTCTCTTATAGGCACTCAGTGGGTAAAACGTAGCCACAACAAACTTGCCATCAAAAATCTTTCCAGTCAGCATTTTTTGGGCAGCTTTGGAATCACCAGCATTTGCATATTCAACAAAGACCTGAAAGACAGAGAAGAGAAGAGAAATAGGGCTTCCAGTGCAGCATGCCATCTGTCTCCTCCCACCCCTGCAACCAGGGAAAGTTCCCAGACAAATTTGTTCCCCCTATCCTTGGTTGAGCTCAGAACAGCGGAACTAAAAAGGAAGGAGCTGCACCTCTGAACTGGAATTTCATCTCTTGCTCCTCATTTCTAAGGGCAGCATATTTGGTGAGATGGGAGAAAGTACGATGATGCTCTACATCCTTCACTTCCTCTTCCACCCATTGGCTTCTCCTCATCCTTCCAGTATCTCAGCTCCCCTGGTAAAGCTGTTTGGGAACCTCCTAGGATCAGCAATCTTACATAACCAGGGAGGAACCTGTGCTGTCCTTCAAGATAACCAGCTATTTTTAGCACTGTCATCAGCCAGGAGATTTCTGGAAGCTGAGCAGCAGTCCAGCAGCACATGGAGCATATGCAGGAATACACAAGCCTCTTCTCTCCATTCACTTACTTGGCCTTTACCAGGATTCTCCTTTGGAATAAGTAAGGAAACCACCGGTCCGTATTTCTGACATTCCTCCCTTATGTCTTCCAGGATATCTGAGAAAGGAAAGAGCTGGCTGTCTTTCACTTTGCAAACCAGGATGAGCCAAGAAACAAATGAAGGCCAGATGAACACATCAAGAACATTCAGTCAACATACAGCCTTTTCCTCTCAATTTAAAATAAACAATCAAGAAGTGCCATGGCAGAAGCTGACACTGCTTAATGGCCACTAACGAGACTAAGTGTCTGAACCGAGGCCTGAACCAAGTGTCTGAACACAGACCTGCAGGCACTGAATCCCTGACAGCAGGGTTTGGAGCACATGGACAGTGCTTTTCCTTTCACACAAAGCCTGTCTTCCAGTAGGATTTGAGAGTGCCTTTTTTTTTGTTGTTATGGCACTTGGAGGAGGGGAACTAAAGTAGCTGCCACAAACCCTTCTTTGTGTGAGCAGAACGCAGCCTTTTAAATTCATATCCCCAGAGCCCTCTAGCTTTTGCCACTCACGTGGCACTGAGGGCAAGCAGAAAAGCAAATTCCACCAACACGCCTCAGCACCTACCACGTATAGTTTTTGCTACAGTTTAAGAACTCCAACGAGATATTTCAGTTCTCTGCTGAGATCTTGGATAAGATCACTGGCAAACTAACTTTTGAGGATCTTTGCTACTAGGCTCCAGAGTCCTGTGCATGTCACGCAACAGCTCAGAGCCACAAACACATTATGAGGTTTGTGGGTGTCTAATCAAAGAAGAAAATACACTTTTTTTAAAAAATCAAAATCTGAAATCCTTCAAGAACTCACTACAAGCTCTACTTTCTGTCTCAATCACTTACTCTATGTTGGTGCAGCTGGCCCACTTGGTACCAGATCTCAGCTAGGCAGCTCTTTGTTTGCTGTTCTTGCACCTATTAATTGCTCTTCTGCTTGCTCTCACATCCCCAAAGCCAAACAAAACAGAGTCCATAATAAGACATTGCTATATGGGAATTGCATGGCTTGCACCAACCTTCATACTCTTCCTCGCACTGCAGAGAAGCATCGCTTAGAACATTTAGCAGCCTCAGCACAGGCGTGGGGAGCATCACCAAATCTTCGATATGGGGAGCTGTTTGGCACCAACAGAATTAAAGAAAAGAAATTAAAGTCCAAAGGAGCAAGAAACCAGGAAGTTGACTCAATATGCACTATTATACACAAGCGTTTACGACTTGTAGTCTCCCTGTTTCCAACTTATCTTCCTCTGTGCCCTGAGAGACGCTTCCAAAGGCTTCAGTGCACTCTGCCATTATACTAAGGCCAACACCTGAAATTGCTTTTAAAATTAAAAAGCTAGCAGAAACTAAGTCTAGTGTAATGCCTGCTTAGCTCAGCTTCAGAAATTGATGTGATCTCAAGAGCTGTGCTAGGTGAGCAAACCGCCCCATATATGGATGAAAGAACTACTCTGCAACCTGCCTCTCCTGTTACTGCTAGACAAGATGAAAACAGGCAGGCCAGCTTCTGTAACTCCAATTCTTAAGCTATACTAAGGCACGAGCCTCAGCTCTCTCTAGGATATCTTTCAGTTCTTCCCTAAACACCATGTAGACCTTCACCCCTTCAAAGTCCAACCGTAATGCACTGTTTTGAAGATCACCATGCAATCTTGCAAGAGAAATGGGGAAAACTACTTACTTATTCCAACACTGCAGTGCAATAGAAAAAGACATGGCCTCAAGAGGGTGGCCACAAGGTAGGTAAGCAGTGATCCTGTGAACAACTTAACAGGAGAAGAAATAAAGCTGGCTGCCATGAGGCGCTTGGCTCAAAAAACAGGCAGTTCCAGGATGGCCTGGAACAGTGTAGCATGGATACTACTGTGGAAGAAGGAAACAGTCAAGGTGGACAGACTAACACAAAACTATGAGACTTGCATCTGAGAGGACATCCACTCCTCTAGAAACTCAAGGCAGCAGGGACAGTGTCACATCTCCAGGGACAAAAGCTTAATTTCATGATCCTCAAAGGGACTGGCAGGCCAGTCAGGAATTTAAGATTTGGGAGCCCAACTTGCAGTACTTGAAGAGTGTCAATGTTTTTATTTGTATTGGCAGCTACAGCAGCCGAACACAATAACAATACCTCACAGTTCTCACATTTGACAATGAGAGAGAGAGCAGAGAAAAAGGAAGAAATGGTTCCAGTTCTCCAGTCTGAGCCTTCTAACTACGTTGTCAGAGACAGCAGGCTATTATGTCCTTGGAAATACTTTTCCAAGCTAAGCACACAATACGTATAAGAGAGCTGACATCTCTGTCAGACAGAGACAGGAGATGTTGATTTCACAGTGCAAGAGGAGATGACAGGCAAGCACACACGCTATAAATCCCCTCCTGTCTGACACGGAAGCGTCCTTATGAAAAGCTCAGAGGAAGAAAGGCCTTATCAGTCTAGACGATGCCCAGAGAACACTCACGGACAGCCCTTCGAAGAGACGTGCTGCATTCAGATAGATCAGGCATGTTCCAGCTCCAAGTGAACCTCTGGGACCATTGCCAACCACGAGACAACATCAGATGAACCAGGGACTGAAAGAACATTTAAGTGTTGCCTCGGTCTTATATGCTGCCCCTTTTATTCGAGTAAGTCTGTCCTTCATTTCATATGTCTTTTTTCAGAGAGAGACACAAACCAACCCCTAGGACTCGGAGCCATCTGGTTGTCCTGTAACCAAGTGACAAATGCATTTCTTGCAATATTCTTCTGCCCTAGGAGGTAGCTTCTGCCCAGCCCCTCTGCTCCTCTTCGAAGTGCCAGATGATACCAAACACACTGACAACAGAGGGCTGCAGCCTGCAAGCAGCTCAGTAAAGCAGCGATGAACTGGAAAGTCAAGACTCGGCTGTAAATGACAAGGAAAGCCATTCTCAGCTGTCTTTGCTCTAAACAGAACAACCGTGTCGAAACGAAAAGCAATGACAGGTCATTTTTTCACTTCCCGAGAAAGCAACAGTAAATGCTTCTTTATGCAGACAAGCTTACGTACAAGTTTGGCAAAGAAGAGAAGCACCAACTAAGAAAAATTGAAGCTGTTGTATAAACTTGTAGCACTAACCACAGAAGCACCTTTAAACACAGTTAGAGGTCTGTGTGTTTAAAAGTAGACCAGAAAGCACTGCCAATATACTATTCCCTCTGCTCTAAAGCAATACTGACTGCAAGGTTCAGCTCCTTCCACGGAAGGTGGCTTTGATTACAACAGTCCCAGTTTCTGAGATGCAAGAGAAGTTTGAAAACAGGAACGAGTTTGTTACCTTTGCCTAATACACAGGAACACCAGTATCTTGATGTGACCTCAAGAGGCAATACTTAACCTTCACTGCAAGGTAAATCAAGCAGCTTAAGAAAAGCAGGGCTGAGATTCAAGGGAAAACACTAGCCTAGCCAGAAGCTGGATGCCTGAAGCATTAATTTATGCTGCAGAAAAGCTGGACGCAAAGCTCTTCACTGGTGTTCCCAAAAGCAGACAAGCTCTGGAGAACGCTACCGTGCTGCTTTTGGAACAGAAAACACGGAGCGATACAAGCCTAAACAGGGCGGTCTCAGTCTATCTTTTGCTGACAGCCTGCAACCCACATGGTGGGTCCCGGGGGAAACACCAGCATTTTACTAAATTGAAGAGAAAGTGCGAGATCAAAGCGAGAGTGACATCTGTCTGTGACCTGCCACACACGCACCAGAAGCAGGCCAGTCACTGCAAAAATAGGTTCACACCACAACACCACACTGGGACTACTTCATCTGTGCAGAGGAGGCAACAGCAGATGCTACTCTCGATGTAAGAAAAACCATCTACTCACCATAAACAGCACTGAACCCTTCAAAAGCACCTTAATGTTCACAATATTAGGTAAGTACCTTGGTTATTTCTGTCCCCTCAGCTGAATGCTGCTGCCAATACACTCTTGGTCAGCTTGATCTGGGCAGAATTTACCGGGAATCCAACCAGGGACCAGGGCACACTGAGAGCACAGGCATTGCTCCGGCCTGCCTGCTGCAGTACCGCAGAGGGCTGGCGAGCACTGCAATGAGCAAAGGAGCAGCAACGAGGCCAGAACCAGCTACAACACAATTTAACTGCACTCTTCCAGTGTTAAACATGCTGCTTCCAGTACCTGCTGAGAAAGCTGCGCGCAGCAGCGACGTGCACAGCTTACCAAAGGGAATGCTGAAGAACGGGCTGCATAAAGCCTTCTCAGCGGAGGCTCGCTTTCCTTGGTCACAATGAAGCATGCTAGAAGAGAAGACATCCTTATGCTCTTGCATGTGACATTTCTACATCAACAAATTCAACTCAGGCTGGAAGCCAGTACAAAGGAATACTCCATCTTTGGGGTGCTTATGGTGCCAAAAGCAGAATGAGAAGCACGTCTTCCAGTTCACAGCTGAAGCACACCAGAACCATTGGGTACATGGTTCAGTAGGCTTTCCTTCTCGATGTCTCTCAGCACCAAATGATGAAAGTTGCTCACTTACAAGTTCACAAAGCACATGGCATGTTCCAGCTCCACCTCCCCAGGCCATTCAGCCCACATCTCAGACACACATGCTGTCTTGTGAAAGTGATCACACTCCGAGGAGCTCCCACATCTTACCACAAATGGGATTCAAAGCAGCTAATACCTCAGGGCTTGCCTGAGAACATCCCCTACTCGGCTTTACCAGTGGTTCCTGATGCTATTTCTGCCAAGTTGTGTCCTCATTCTCTCTGTAGCCTCACAGCAGAGTTACAGGACAGCAAAGCCAATTCCCTTGGCAGACCTCTCAGTAGAGAGCTGCACAAGTGCATCTGAATCTTGACAGCAGTGGAGAAGCAGCACTGTCTGCCGCCCTCCCTTGTTTCTGACAACACTCCCTTAAAGCAGTGAAGTCTCCAGTTTTCTCCAAATATAACCTCACTGGAAGGAAGCGCAAAGCACTGAAAAAGCAAACGATGAATATCGTCATCGATAATGACTGATATCCTTTATGTGCTTACTCCAAACCGTGTCAAAATCAGAGGAGCTGAAGCATCTCTGCTAGTGTCTGCACTTGTTACTAGCATAGTGGCAGGGAGAATTTTCAAAAAAGAAAAAAAAGCGTTAGGTGTGGGCTCCTACCAAGAGCAAGGCATGAGACCTTACCGAGCGTATCTTCAAGCAACAACTAGTAAATATGATAAGATACCTTTTGATAAGGTCTCTGAGGTGATAAGCTGGAATGGCTGAATTAACCACCCCTTCACTGGCAAATATGCGATCAATGATGGCAGAACTGTTTGTCTGGAAAGAAAAAGAAACAGTGCTTAGGGAGGAAAGAAAAAACTAGTGCAAAGCTTGCAATAACCCATCGTTTTCTAGACTGGATGCAGAGGGCTCTGGTACTGTGGCATTTTGTGAGAGATCCTCAATACTCCACATGTTAAACCAACAGACCCATGTCAGATGCAGTTTTTCCCATTTTCCTGTGCGAAAGCTGGAAATTTCCACACACAGGCAAATTTGCTGTTACTGTGGACATTATGATGCTGAAAGGATACTCTTACTGGGAAGGGGAACACAAACCAAAATTATTTCATACAGAACAGAGGACCGAGTCAGGCTCCAGGCTCACAACACAGAGCATTCCTCTTGTTTTCTCAGGATATACATTTATGATAAGATCTCCAAATTAGAGTTAACGTTAGACTAAAACCAGCAAATAATTCTTCTGTTGTTGTGCTGCTGAACTAGCTGGTGGCTATCAGTCATCCATTTTGCACTTCTTTCTGTGCCACACTATGGCCAGTGCGACTCACCTCCCAAATCTTGGCAAGACACAGGCCCCAAACACAGACTCCTGCAGCCCTCAGCTTTGAGTAATGTGAACACAGGCAGCAGTCAGACATACCAGTGCCACAGGGCAGGTGGGTCTTTTAAGGCTATGGAAGCTTAATTCTCAAGGCAATAGGATGAAAGAAACATCCTGGAAACACACTCTAGTTGTCAGCTGCTACCTCACAAATCCAGGTTACAAACAAGGAGTGGGAAGACTCGTTTAGTGCAAGGAAGAATGCCCGCAGCAGCTCTCGCTCACCTTCCATTCCTGAGATTGGACTGTATGTTTCAGTTTCATTCCTGAGAACATTTCCAGTAAAACGATTCCCAGACTCCACAGATCCACAGCAGAGGTACACTCAGTCTCACTCGGGAGCCCTGCCTGCGCCAGGCAGTTCTGCAGTTCTGCCTCTGGAGCCCGATACCCGTCTGTTTGAATATATTTCACATCCTACGGAAGATAAAACACACAGAAAAAGTTAATTTTCAGGTTCGTGTTTTCCACTCTATCCTTAAATCAGTGCACAGAGGTCCTTCCAAATGGGTCACCAAAACACTACTGCTAAATTGACAGCGAGTCATGTTAGGCAGGCAGTTCAACTCACTATACTGCTGCGTTGACGAGGAAAAGACCAAGACTGTCTGGAAGAGAAAACATTTCCCAGTAAAATATCAGGCATCCCACTAACATCTGATCACTCTGAAAGACAGCACCGCTGGGACAAAGAGGTTGGATGTCACTGTAGAGTGGCCCATTAACCACTCATAAGCACAGAAGACGCTAGAAGTTTCAGGATAAGGATTGAATACCCACAACATGCTCCCACATGGGCCACGAGAGCAAAACCAGCCTGGTCTGAACAGTGAGGATTGGTAACAGCTGCCATTATTCAAGTACTGATGTTCTCTGGAACAAAATGTTAAAAGAACGAAGCAGGCACCTCATACTCAGACAAGGAAATTATCAAAGGCGCTTCCCACGCACCTCCTTCCATCTCCCCCTTGCAGCCAGAAGCACTGCAGCAACCAATACCTGCCCAGCTGCTGGGGCTGGCGGAGTAAAATAAAGTGCCCATGTGCTGCCTGCTTAAAAGAAAACAGCAAATTGTAGAATCACACAAGTGCTGTCTGAAGGGGCTGCTCTGAATGTCTCCAGCCTCCTGCTCCTGCCAGTGCCCAAGCGGTCAGCTGTGGCTTTCTCTGGCCAAGTGTTGCAAGTGTCCAAAGGCAAACTGCATACTGCGTCTTCTTAACAGGGGAGGGCTCGTTTTAGACACACTGATGTGTGTCTAAAACACTCAAAGAATGACAGAAGAATATACAAGCCTACTTCCTGGATAAGGCACAGGATTGGAAAATGTCACCAGGGGAATATATTGAAACCAAAATTATCTGGTTCTCTGATTGAAAGTAAAGTTTACAAAAGACATTTTCAGGCAACAGAGCTCAAAAGTGGTTTATGAACTTAAAAAAAAAAAAAGATACACACATTACTCATCAGCGCCCCTCCTCCCATCAGCAAAGAGCAGAACCTCTAGCATGGCAAAAGCAGCAGTTGAATAACATTAAACCCCCACCAAACAACATTTAGAGACAGAGAAAGCACCGTGGTCAATGCCACCAGCAAAAATTGCAAGATGAAATTTCACTCGTACCATCTAAAGCCTTTTAAGAGACGTAAGTGGCTGAGACCTTGCTCTGTGTACAGCCATTCTCTGTTAAAGAGTAACAGCAGGAAAAGTTATGCAAGGATAAGCTGGGCAGAGTTGTCACACAGAGAAGTAGTACTGTCTTGACTCAGATAAGGAAGTCAGGCACGTATGCAGCTGCCCGAGGCAGGAGCAGTGAGGGGACGCTGACAGCCAAGGCATATTCAAAGCAGGGTCAAAAGTTTCACCTGTACAGGCAGCATATTTCTGCAGAACAGGCAGAAGAAACTGAGGCCAAAGAAAGCAGCTTGGAAGGAACTATAGAAGCAAATAAACCACTTGACCAAGTATTATGACACAACTCAGAGAGTAAGCAGGAAAACACAGACCTGAATAAAAAAAAAAAAATCTCTGCATTTGACACAGGACACCAGGAGAATGTTTTTGCTGATAGACAGCAACATATTAGCAGCAGAAAGCAGCATTGAGCCAAGAAAGTGGGAGAAGTGAAGAACAAGATGGAGGAATTGTTAAGTAGTACAAGCATTAAAACCATCTCCTGCACCAAGGAATTCAGAGACAGGTCATACACAGAGTCCTCCGACACTCACAGATGAGTGGGCTGTAGCATGAATATCAGGTAAACCAGAAAAAAAGTATATGAATTTAAAACCTCTAAATGAGTAGAGTGCACGGAGTAGGGACAAGGCAGAAGAAAAATGTATGCACAGAAAAAAATGATCATTGGTTAGTAACGAAAGGCAAATTTGCTACGAGGATACTTGATGAAAACAGAATGTCCACAAAGTTAGGAGAGTTATGGGAGGATGACAGGATCACCATTCTATGAGCCTTCCTCTCAAAAGAAGAAAAAAAGAGAGAAAAACCCACCCTCTCCTCTGGAACAAACTGCTGTCCCAGAAGCCGATCTAGAACCAACAAGCGATCTAGAACCTGCTCTAGAACCAACGAGCGAGCTAGGACCATGAGCCAAGTTACAGCCCTGTCTAGAGCCAAAATTAAGCCAACACAAGAAGGACATGGAACTGCTGGAGTGAGTCCAGAGGAGGGCCACAAAGATGATCTGAGGGCTGGAGCACTTCTCCTATGAAGACAGGCTGAAAGAGTTGGGGTTGTTCAGCCTGGAGAAGATAAGGCTCTGGGGAGACCTTCTAGCAGCCTTCCAGTACCTAAAGGGGCTACAAGAAAGTTGAAGAGTGGCTTTTGACAAGGCCGTGTAGTGATAAGACAAGGGCTAACGGTGTTAAATTGAAAGAGGGGAGATTTAGATGAGATCTAAGGAAGAAACTTTTTATTTTGAGGGTGGTGAGGCACTGGAACGGGTTACCCAGAGCAGTTGTAGATGCCCCATCCCTGAAAGTGTTCGAGGCCAGGTTGGATAAGGCTTTGAGCAACCTGGTCTAGTGGAAGGTGTGCCCCTGCCCATGGCAGGGGGGTTGGAACTAAATCATCTTTGAGGCCCCTTCTGACCCAAACCATTCTGTGATTCTGATGTCCATCACAGGCCATTTCTGAGAGAGGGAGGGGTGAAAGGAAGCTCTATCAAGTCAACAGCAGAACCTCCTGAGGCTCTCTGCTTTCATCAGAGGCCATGGAAGAGTAAGGACAAACTTGCAAAAGCCAGTATCACCAAAACAAAAAAGTGACAGCACGAAGAGGGGGTGCAAGCCCAGCAAACATGAAAAGCAGAGCAGAACAGGCAGAGATCTGTCTGTGTCAGTACAGAATGGACGCTGCCTACACACAACCATTGGGCTTTTGTCAACACAATGACATGTGAAAGAAACATCCAGACTTACTGAAAATGGGAAGCTGCTGAAGATAGGATGAAAGCAAAGACAAGCACAAGGACACTGTCAGAGATAATGCAATTGACTGGGGATGCTGATGGTGAAGCCTGGATTACAACTACATATGATAAGGGATGATAAAAGGAAATTCCACAGATCTGTGTGATCTCACTTGTCTGACCACATAAAAACTAGCAAACTTTCCAGGAAGCTGAGACACCACTTTTTTCAGTGCGTTATTAACTTTGGAATTCGTGGTCATGTGTAGCATAAAGGCCAAGACATCAACAGAAACCAGATACATGCAAGGAGAATGGGAAAGCGGGCTTCTGTTCCTGGGACCAGACAACATTTTAGCCTTTTCCAGGAAAGCCTCAGCACCAGCTCAGCTACTACTCTGATCAGGTCACGTTGACTCCTACACTCATGAACTGAAAGCATCACAGACCCACACAACTCAACACAGAGCCAACTGCTTCGAGAGAAATATGTTCCAAACCTGATTCCCCTCTTTGAAGCTAAGTCCAAAGTCAATGAGCTTAAAGCACTCCTCCTCCGCGCTCCACAGGATATTGCGTGGCTTGAGGTCTGCATGCACGTAGCCTTTGTGGTGCAGGAACGAGAACATCTCGGGCGCAGTGCTGGATCATCCACATGGAGCAGCCCTGGTTGCTGGAGTGCAGCAGCAGCTCGGACACGCTGATGTCCAGCAGCTCCAGCAGCAGACAACGAGACGGGCCATTCGCAGAGTAGTGGTTGGTGAACACGCCGTACAGCGTCACTACAGCAAAACACATCGAAAGGCACTGGTAACGAGCAATTACACAGAGCTCCACCGCTCTCCTCCACTGCCCACGCCACCACAAAAGCTGCAGGAGGCAGCTCATCTGTTTTACAAAAGCGTGACGTTCAGAGACCTGGAGAACCAAACTTCAGAGGGAAGCAGCAGAGGGAAACCAGCCGTGGCAGCCCTACGGGCTTTGGAGGACGGGCTGGTCTCACAACACCCTGCCAGGTTTTGTTAAAGCAATGGGGCCAGGTGTTCCTGAACAATCTCCGGGATGTGGATATGCAGGTCCCGGTGGATAAAACAGAGGTAATACTGCTCTCTTTGGGACATCTGCCAATCTCTTTCAGTGTGTGTCTAGGTACATTACAGCACTGAAAAGTGTCACACAGACAAAAAAAAAATAATAAGAGTGGGGAGAACCTGGGGGCTCCCCGCGCCCGCCTCTGACATGCAGGCTTGATCACTTCCCAAGCCCACTCCCACCCACGAAGGCAGCCCAGGGGCTCCTGGCAGAGCCAGGCAGGCTGGCAGGCAGACACCGCCCATGGCTCTTGCCGGGGTGGCTCTGGCAGCCCTGCCCAACAGAGGACTTCGAGTTGCCCTGCCCGGGGTGACCTGCTCTGCCTACCAAAAG